TAGTGTAATAAATCTTTATGGGCTTAATCATAGTGATCCAACAGTTAATTCCCTTTTCTTATGTAAATTTCGTGCATATATTACACATATTTGGAATCAAACAGGTCGATATCTTACTGTACTTGCATGTATTGATAGATATATTTGGACAGCAAATAATGCTCATGCAAGACTTATAAATCGACCATCAACTTCTCGTTGTCTTACAATAATTTTATTTTTATTTTGGCATATTTTTTCTATTCATATAGCTGTTTTAGTAACAATTACTAATGGAATATGTTCTTCATTTGGTGTTTATTATGTTATTTATCAAGTATACGCTGCAACTTTTCTTGGTTTACTTCCACCAATATTAATGAGTATATTTGGTTTTTTAGCTTATCATAATATGAAAAAATTACATTTACGTGTGCGACCAATTGGTAACAATGGTGATGATAATAGTATAACTCATCGTCGTGATCGAGACCTATTATTGATGGTGTTAACTGAAGTTGTTATTTATGTTGTGACAGCAATTCCATATCCATTTATTGTTCTAGAAGTTGCAGTAACAAATTATATGGGTGTTATTAAATCTAGTCAACGTATTGAAATTGAAAATTTTCTTAATTCTATTGCATTAACACTTTTTTCTATTACTTATGGTTCTCGTTTTTATACATATTTTGCTGTATCAAAAGCATTTCGAAAAGATTGTAAGACACTTTTTATCAAGTGGAAAAATCATGTACTTGGACGATCGCCTATAAACCGAACCCCAAGAGCAAGACAATTGTAAATATAATAACACATATTTCGCAAAAACTAACATTAACCATCTTGCGGGTGGGTGAATAAATAGAACATCGACTCACATCCACATTCGACCTAATTACAATTATTTGAGAGCAGATGTTATAATGGTCGGTGTCAGAGATGGACAAGTCAGACGTTTTCACAAGTCAAGTCACAAACCTGTTCAAGTCAAGTCAAGTCAAGTCACAAACCTGTTCAAGTCAAGTCAAGTCGCAAACCTGTTCAAGTCAAATCAAGTCAAGTCACATATATTTTAAGTCAAGTCAAGTCATGTTTCAAGTCAAAACTCATTATAAAAAATCCTTCTATTGAATGGAACTTTGGAATACAAATTTCCTTTTATTTAGAATTAATTTTTAGCAAAACTCTCATTTTTAATTATGTTTACCTTTTACATTCTGATTTTGTAACAAGACTAGTAAAATATAAAACAAAAGAACATTGAAACCTCTACATATATGCTTTTTGACTTGACTTGAGTTTATGGCTTAAGTTCAAGTCAGGTCTAGTCAAAAAATGACTTGACTTGCCCATCTCTGGTCGGTGTCGTTAAAGTGCTTGTTTTGTTTACAGCATCAAGAAAAGAACAATTAATTGAATATACTATAGACTACTAATATGAACCACTAGTAGTAACACCGTGGAAATAAGTTTTCTTTTTGAATAAATAGTTTTTTTCATTGAATCAAACAAAAAGCTACAAAACAATTTAAACTTTCAATTATACTATATGAGGTTTCGAAAATTAAGAAACTCATGAAACTTCTGAGGAAATATTATAGAGATTGAAAAGGTAGCTTTACATAGTTTTTTGGGCTTCAAGTCAATTTCTGCTGCAATACAGGCTCTCCATAATGCTTTTAGTGTTCGAAAGTATTGATTTGGTTTTCATCAGCAAACTGAAGATGTTTCTCGAACGGACTGAATTTTTTACAATGGATTTTTTAGAGCATAAATGAAAAATAACAAAAACAAAATCTTATGAATTCGTTTCTGTGTTTTAGTTTATTTGCCCAGTAACAAATAAGAATGAGAAAAAAGTGAGAGGACGTTATGTCTCGCACAATTTTCTATACTATTTTATCTATTTCGATGAATACAACATAAAACAAATTCATAATGATAATGTGTTTTCTTTGAATAGTTTCGATATTCTTCTTCCGAAGTCGTTGTTGTTATGGAATATTCCTTATTACATTTACAAGGAATTATCCCATATATATATTCTTTTTTTCTTTTCTATGTATGTAATTTTCTTTCGTTCTGTTGCGTGTCCTCGATATGTTTCTTTTGGTATTTTCCTAGTTAAGATTCTTATATATATAACTCAGGTATTTTTCCATAATATGATATGGGAAATATCCAGCTAGTCTATATATATAGAGAGAGAGATTATGTTTTACGTTAGGATGTGTGTGAATTAGTTAGTCGTTAAACTTGTTACCTATCAAATAAACTATTTAACTAAAGAAGAGATCTAACAGTTGCTTAAAACAATTTGTTAGCGATGACTCAAGTCATCACTCTTTCTATGCATGTTTTATTAAAAATGTGATACGTAATCACATTTTTCCTTTTTCTTCTCTTTTTCTTTTTTGAGTCAAAAATGTAAACATATATTACATTTTTTCCCTTTACTTTTCTTTTTCGTTTGAGTTAAAAATGTGATCATATATTACATTTTTTCCTTCTTTTTCTTTTTGGTATATATACCATTCATTTTTCTGTGATAGATATACGTGTTC